CAAATGTGAATACCACGACCTGTATCAAGGACCCAAGAATTAGTATGCGGTGAGTTATTAGACAATATAGTGTAAATACATGCATGTGTGGATTTTACTTTCCCATCCTTAACATGATGTAAGTACTTTGGGCAGCTTCGCTTCCAGTGCCCCTTATCATGACAATAGAAGCACTCTGCTTCTTTTAGGTTGGAGGAGGGAGCAGCAAGACCGACTTAGTCTTGCTAAAAGAGGACCCATCAAGAGACTTTCGCTTGTGACCCTTGGAAAGGGTCTTCCTCTTCTTTTCCTTGCCGTGCCCGATTGCCAGGACTGGGGCAGTAGCAGTAGGAGTGGTCACATCAGATTTACCTTTGAGACCACTTTCGGCAGTCCTCAAAAGGCCCTGAAGCTTGTTCAAAGTGACTTCCTCCTTGTTCATATGATAAGTCATGCAGAACTGATCATAACATGGAGGTAAGGAGTGTGTAATAATATCTATAGCCAACTCCTTATCAAAGTTCACATTCAATTTGAGCAGACAGTCCACAAACCTTTGCATTTTCTGCAAGTGGCCCGTGATAGGTTCACCATCCTGCATCTTTGTTGTAATCATGGAACATATGATTTCATACCGATCTTGACGAGCACTCTGATGGTACCTTTCCATCAGGTCCTGGTGCATCTCAAAAGGGTAGAAGTCCTCATAGGACTTTTGAAGTTCAGGAGACATGGTGGAAAGCATGATACAAGCTACCTTGGTGGCATCTTTCTCATGTGCCCTGAAATCAGCAATCTCCTGAGGAGTGGCAACATACTCATCAATTTCCTTCAGTTCCTTGTCGAAGACATATTCCTTGTCCTCATAACGAGTGGACATCCTTATGTTACTAATCCAATCATTGCAATTCGTTCCATCAAAGATGACTCTCCTACAAAGGTTCATGAGAGAGAAGGAGCCGGTAGGGTTTGAGCCAGAAGCAGCATTGTTGGAATGCATCTGAAAAGGAAGAAAGACAAAGTTTAGATTAGATATAGAGTCCTTAATATAAAACCCAAAATGAAATATTAAGGTTACGACCCAACACAATATTTTACAATTTGGAAGAGGGATGCCATAATCCAAGTTGCAAAATATTTGAAGGTAGGTAAATGACGATTTACCAATTTCCACCATGAAAAACGAAATTGATTTTTAGGTTTTAGATTAATTGAAATTCCTATATTCATTTGAGATTCATTGACCTTTTCAATGGCATGTTAAAATCTCGATTATGCCCTTCAAGTTTGTGACTGGGTACCGAGGATCACAAACAAGGTGTGAATAACCATGCAAATATACTTGGTACTCTTAATGTCATTTATCACCTAATCGATGTGTCGGTTAACCACATACACTCCATCGATCTATGATAAACATTAAGCTACCCTTTTCCACCATTACTATCCATTTTAGTGTGTCGGTTAACCACACACACTCCACTAACGACTTGGTAAGGTGCAAAGTGTAATTTAATGGGTTAGCACCAATTTCACATTTTCATAAAGTAACTAAGATTGGGAATTTATAAAACATTTAGTTACTTTATATCTATCATTATAATTTTAATGAGAATTATAGTCTTTGTCCTACCCATTCGGCTAACGACCCTCCACCAGTCAAGGAAGCGGTGGGTGAGAGTGGACACCCATTAAACCACCATTTTATAGGCAGTAACCTTATACCCACCTTATAGACCGACTTCGTGAATGAGGCCTACTAACGGTAAGACTAACTTGTTCTTATATAAATACATACATATATATATATATATATATATATATATATATATATATTATATATATATTATTAAACTTATAATATTATAATAGTATAAGTGTTGAATTTTAACCTTTTAAAATTCTAGGGTTTGGAATTAAAGTTTTAATGTGTGACTTTACAAATTCCAAAACTTGAGGGCTAGTTTTGAAACTCTTCAAAACTTTTCAACTTCATAACATATGAGTTTAATGGTCTTTAAAAATGAGAATCTTCGTTTTTCTATAACCTATGACTTTTAATGATTCATTTAAATGACAAACTTTTGGAATTCCATAACTTGAGGGCAAGTTATGGAGTCCATCAAAATCATCAAGATCATCAATTAAACTAACAAGCATGTTCAAGTTCTTGATTACACTCATATGAACAAGATAATTCAAATCAAACAAATTCCATGTAATGAGACTAATCATATAAACTAATACAAAACATGAAATTTGGACAATCACCTTTCAAATGGATGAGCATGATCATTACCATGTCTTAAAAAACAAATTTTTATGATTAAAAACAGTTTGGGGTAATGATCCTATCCATTTGTTGCCAAAAAATCGATTTTCTGCACCCTGCCCAACAAACTCGGCTCGTCGAGTAGCTCATTTTGTACATGGACTCGTCGATTCCATCAGTGGACTCGGTAAGTTCATCAGTCAAAATGCATAAAATATGATTTTTTCAACTTCAAACAACAAGTAGCATCAAGTATAATTGAAAACAAGCCTAGGCTCTGATACTACTGAAGGGTTTTGAGCAATCTAACACTCCTAGGTGTACATGCAACCCTAAATACCTTGGATCTATGTTTTCTCTATTATACACGCAAACTTTCTTTTTCCAAGGTATTACCCTAACTAGCATACAAAACCTTGATACTTGGGTAATAAAACAAGTTAGATAACATACCTTTTGTTGTAGCTTGTTGCTTGGAGATTTAAGAGCCTAACACCAGTAGTGAAGAGGACTCTCTACTTCACAAAAATCGGGCACACTCTTGTATAGACTCTAGGTGCCAATTTCTTGAAACAAAGGGCTTCTTATATAGTGTGGTTACATTAGGGTTACACCATGTAAACCCTAATGTGCATGACTTTCCACATTCCTCATGATCCATGGGTTTTAAGCTCCATGGAGTATCCATGGGTCACCACATGGGTTAAGCCCAACATAAGGAATCATGGATCATTAGCCCACCTTATAAGAATGAATGATTTACACAACCAATCCCTATATATTTAATTAGTCTCTTTTGACCACAAAATTAATTCCAAATTAATTCTTGATCAATAGTAATTAAATAATATGATTTCATATTAATATATTATAACTTATAATATATTAATAAATCATAATTATCCTCTTCTTAAAAGTCCAAATTGTTCCAGTGAAGTGCAACCCGAATGGACCATGCTAAATCGGGTCAAGTACATACAAAATATAGTTATGGACTTAGACACATTATCCAACAAAATCTTCATAGTATCTTACAAAAATCATCAATTGTTCTTAACATCTTTCGAAATCACCATCCAATCTCCTTCACTTCCAACCGAAAACACCCTAACTTTTTATTTACACCAAGAACACGAAGAACACACCAAGAACACCTACAAACTATTCTAAGACTTATTGTAAGTTTTCTTACAATAATTAAGTGTTGTTTAACACTTCAACTTAATATTTAAATTATTCTTATTTGATGTAAATACGATATCGTGGGTAAAAATTATTAGGATACGGCTATAATCACGTATTCTATCTCGAAGATTATTCGCAACCAATTTCTATCTAATCAAGAATACGCACACAAGGTGAGTTCATACCCCTACACTTTTCCAAACTTTTCTATATTTTTACCGGGGGGGGGGGGGGGGGGGGGGGGAGGGGCGATACAAGTAAAAACGCAAGTAATATTGTGTTTACACTACTAGAAAACAGCCTTTTACGACGTGCAATGCGTGTCGTAAAACGCTCAGACGACGCGCAAATGTGTGTTAAGGAAGACCCTGTCATAACGAGAGACGACGCGCTTTTGCGCGTCGTCTATTTACGACACACATTTACGACGCGCATTTATGACACGCATTTACGACGCGCAGTTATGACACGCAATGCGTATTAAGGAAGGCCCTGTCATAAAGGAAGACGACACGCATTTGCGTGTCGTAACCTTACGACGCGCGTGTTTATGACACACAATGCGTATTAAGGAAGCCGCTGTCATAAAGGAAGACGACACGCATTTTTGCATGTCATAATTTTAAATGTTTTTAAAATTTATATTTTTGATAGATTTACTAATTTTCAAATTTAATAACAAACTAAAAGTTTCATAATACAATATAAAATACCATAAACAATAAAGACAATTCATTGCATTAATATGTCAAATACAAATAATCATTCCAATAGTAAGTAAATGTAACAATATTGCATAATATTTATTATTGAAAACAAAACATGTATTACATTTAAAGAAACCCATGACTAAATTCTCCTTTGACAATTTCCTTTCTAAGAGAATAACCTGAATGCAGGAACTTTGAGAGGCAGCAGGGCATGGATTGCTAGAGCTGTCAGAACCTGCACAGTGCAAATCGGTAACTTAACATGCCATTATGGACATTTTGGTCACATGGGGGATCTTTTCAGGCATGGTGAAGGTTACAGCTTCAGGTGCCTTTATGAGCATTTTGGTCACATCGGGTCTTTTTTGGGCATGGTGAAGGTTTCAGATGCAGGTGCCTTTGTGGGCATTTTAGTCACATCAGGTCTTTTTCCAGGCATGGTGAATTTTTTGGTTTCAGGTTCAAAAAAATGAACAAGGAGTGTTCAACTAGACCGAGTTTTAAATATTTGTTTATGTTCAATTTTATTATAGTTTCACATTCTTATTGTAGCTACACTAGTTGGAGAGGGGGGCTGAACCAACAATACTAATATTCATGTGTTAATCAAACAAAGCTGAAGGATTATGGAAATATGGGTAAGAAAGGAGTTATCTTCCATTGACGTCCTTTCCGAGATGCCTTAGAAAGGTAAATTCACTATATAGTCATGGGTGTCGGGTTCGCTATTGGGGCAGATAGATCAGGCAGTTGTGATTCACCAGTTCCAAAAGTGGCAACTGGGTTGTGGCAAACTGGATACCACCTGATTTGTAACGACCCAATTTTCACGCCCAAAAATTTCATTTAAAAATAAATGGTTTGCGAAACATTTGTAATAAAACATCATCCGATCATATCATTTCATAAAAACATATATCGTGTCTGAAAACCAAATCATAAAAATAATAATAAGGTCATAGTACAATCCCAGAACATCTCATAATGCGGAAAACCAATGCGTGTGTGTATGATGTGCCGCTACCGCGCCAACTCCTTCCCCTTCGCTGAAGAGGTACCTGAAAACAAAACTGTAAACTGTAAGCACAAAGCTTAGTGAGTTCCCCCATCGTCCACATACCATACAATCATATAGCATACATACTGCCAGGCATTTCTGGGGTGCCCGACCTACCCGGTACGGCCATTCTGGGGTGCCGACCTACCCGTACGACCATTCTGGGGTGCCGATCTACCCATGCGGCCATTCTGGGGTGCTGTCCTACCCATGTCAAGCCATTCTGGGGTGCTGACCTACCCATGTCGAGCCATTCTAGGGTGCTGACTACCCTTCGGTCCTAACAACCGAACCTCAGGGACTATTTCACCCCCTACTACTACTATCACATATATCATAGCAATATCTACTGTCAGACATATCCGGGGTGCCCGACCTACCCTTCGGTCCTAACAACCGAATCTCGGGGACCATTCCCCCTCCTACTACCTCTATCTCGTATAACATATCATGCTAGCAGCTAAACATATCATAACATACTGTTAGGCATAACTAGGGTGCCTAACCTACCCTTCGGTCCTAAGAACCGAACTCTATCACTATCATATATCATATCATGCTAGCATATAACATATCAGGTAGTAGCAACACAAATGAATATCACAAAGACAAACATCTATCATACGATCCCTACTGGTGGGCCGACATTGTGGCCGTAGACCCACCGCTACTGGAAGGTAACTCACCTCGTAGTAGCTGCTGATCTGTGCGGGAACTCTCTATCTGCTGCTGCTGCTCTGGAAATCCTCCGGCTATAAATCCCACAAAACACACAATCAGAGTCTGATATCTACTCTTTGGGTAAAATGACCATTTTACCCCTGATCAAGTCAAGTCAAAGTCAAAGTCAACTTCCAGTTGACCTGACTCGCCGAGTTCGCTAGCCAACTCGCCGAGTCCCTAACCTTCCATTTGTCCTTATTGACGACTCTACTCGTCGAGTTGGGCCGTCAACTCGACGAGCTCTTCTCTCGTTTGAACGTCACCTGAAAACTCATCCGACTCGCCGAGTTGATGAACAACTCGTCGAGTCCACCTTCATCTGATGAACAAGATCTGTCCTCGACTCGCCGAGTTGATGAACAACTCGTCGAGTTCTAAGAAGATTGCCTTGGACTCGCCGAGTCCAAGAACGGACTCGCCGAGTCCTGTCTTGACCAATTCCATACAGTTGATTTAAATGAGATCTAGCACACCAAAACCATAGATCTGGCCTCCTAATGTCCACTTTATACGTAAAGTTCCAAACTTGATGCACATGCATGGGGTTTTAGCTCAAAAGTCCACATAAAGTGTCCTACAATGTGCATGGGGCTCTCATGGCCCTAAAGTTGGCACCTTTATGCCATGAAACCCCTCTTAAGGCCCAGATCTGAAGTCAAAACCCACTCCACACTTCCAATACCAAAACATGACTTAGCAATCCAAAAAAATCCCAAGTTAAATATGAATAAACACATAGATGAGTCAAGACAGGGGCATTATACCTTGAGGCTGCTGAAAATGAAGTAAAATCCCTAGATCTACTGTCCCCAACTCAGGTTCCAAGCTCCTTTGTTCCTTCCAAGCTTTACAACCACACAAGAACACCAAAAATGGCCTCAACAATGCACAAACGGCTAGGGTTTCAATGAGAAGTGTTTTGGGAGCATAAGGGACAATATGGCCGTCATATAATTGCTTAAATAGGGTGCAAACCCTCGGATTAGGGTTTTTGTCCGAACAACACCTACTCGCCGAGTCCGGGAACCGACTCGCCGAGTTCATCACTTAAGTCCCGCGTCCCTTCTCGCTTCTACTCGGCGAGTGGGTCCTTCAACTCGCCGAGTCCGAGGCCAAAATTGCAAAATATTTAAAGAATTAATAAAAATAATACGTACCAAGAACCAGGTGCTACATGATTATACACAATTAAAATCAAAATCAAATGTTAATTGGTGTCAAGTGGAGAAAATGATTATTAGAATATAAAGTAAGTGAATAAATTACTTGATGTGATGTTAGGGCATAAAGCAACAAGCATTCTTGTTAGGGTTTCAGGGTATGCATTGCATATCATTCCAATACCACAGTTGCTTATGCTAGACCTGTAATTTTAACAGAAACCTCATATGTTTTTTGTTGTTCATGTATTTTCTGCCATTAAACACAACATCATGACTCATAAGCAAATTAAGAAATACAAATATATAGGAAAGATGAGAAACATTATATCAATTTGCAGGTTTTAACACTGCAAGTTTATAAAAGTAGCACACGATCGCACATGCAAGTTTAGACTAACAAGGAAAAAGATATTTGACGATTTTAGTTAAAAGGCTGATTGTCCTTAATTATGAGTTTTATTTTATAATTTCTTTAGACCCCATTAATATGTGAAACTTACCCTTAATTAGATTGTCCTGTTTCATGAAAATCTCTCGATGCCTAGTCTGACCACATCTAATAGATCAACATTCAAGTCATACCTGCATTGAAGACTTATGATCATTAAAAAAGCATCCACACAGGAATATACAATTGTTCTACAGATACTCAAAAAACACCTATTATCACCAGCAACTAGTTGAAATGAATAGTGAAGCTACCCGGTTAAATCCAAGCTCTCAAAAAACTCTTTTAAGGTCAGATATGTCCCATCATGAAATATTACAACCTGAAACAGGAAAAGAAAAAAACTTTGATTCATGCAAAAGAGAAACACATATTCTAATGATCAGAAACAAATACCTCATCTGGTTCCTTTTTTAACTTTGACTTTATGAACCTCAACAGATGCTTTTGATTCATGCATTTAACATCAAATGAAGGTTGAATTTCTTGATGGATATTCATATCATGTCACAAATTAAAGTAAAACTTATCAAAACAGAAACTTGGCGAAATTTTATTAAGTAAAGAAACTAAACCCAAGAGTGTCTACCTGTTCCAGAAGACCAAGGCGATGATGACATACAGTTCATGCATTCCCCAGCAGCTAATATCTTAAGGATGTGATGAAGGTCAGTGAAAAATGTTGTTGCATCAGCAACTGAAAAAGCACCACCACCATCAAGAATCATGATATCTTACAGTCTTTATCTGCATAAACATGAACCACGCCATTTTCCATTTGAAAATAATGCTGAACGGAAATGAATATCAAGTCAAGATTCACGAAAATAAGCATCAAGTACAAACTTCTGTCAGAAACTTCAAACCTACATCAGATTTTATCTCAGGAACCCGGGAAATCATAATTTATCACATATTTCACGTCTTTCACATCTGCATTTTCATTATCATTTTTATAAATATTAAACAATCAACAATATGAATCATTAAATATATAATAATTAGTTGAGAAATTAAACGTACCTAAGCCACGAGCTGCAACATCTGTAGCTGTCATTATTGGACTTTTACCAGCTTTGGATTCGGATAAAACCCAATCTCTTTCCGCTTGACTTTTATCTCCATGGATTGATAATGCGGGCCACCCGTCCATTCTGAGCTGGCGGGTGATTTGGTCACACCCTTTTTTCATGTCCATAAAAATTAGAATTCTACTCCCATCCATGATGTCATCCAGCAGTTTCACCAATCTGAAAAAAAAAATTTATCAAATTTTATTATTTTAAAGCGTCTAAAAAGTTGAAAATAAAAAATCATCTATAAAAACGGTCAGCTTAACTTGTTGTACTTTTGATTCTCAGTAACAATATCCACATGTTGCTGAATCGAATGTTTAGCTTTTAAGTCTTGTGAACCAATCACCACCTGTCCAAATTTCAAATGTCCAAAAAAAAGGATTAAATATGAATATATGGTTAGAAAAAAAGTAATTACTTTGTATGGGTTGTAAAGAAACTGTCTTGCAAGTTGTTCGACTTCCTTTGGCTGTGTAGCACTCCAATACAAGGTTTGACGATCTGGTCGTATCTGTGTATATACAAAAACCCATAAGAGAAGAAAAAATTGAAAATATATATTTTAGTTTTCTCTTATTATAAAAGGAAGGTTAAAAACTACTAATCACAATTCACAAACCTGTGAAACAATTTTTTTCATTTGAGGTTCAAAACCCATGTCAAGCATCCTATCTGCCTCATCCAACACAAGGTAAGTCACCCTCCTCAGGTTTGTATGATGAGACTCCAACATATCAATCAATCTTCCAGGTGTAGCAATGATAATCTCAACACCTAAAAGAAAAGATTTAAAAAAAAATTGATGATGAAACATGTACTTTAGGCACAACAAAGATAGATAGATATAATGCTGGAAAATGTTGAATAAGCTGAAGAAGCATTATGATATACCCGATCCATAGTAGTAAAGTCATCTTTAAGCTTATCACCACCTACCTTTCTGTAAATCACGAACTTGAGGACCCTTTGGAGCCCCACCATAAATGCAAGTATTCTTAATCTTTGAAGATGCGTCAAATTTAGTTGCTTCTTGTTGTATTTGAACACCAAGTTCACGAGTTGGAGCTAAAACTAACACAATCGGTCCATCTCCTTTTACTGTGATACCTGTAAACTCGCCGGAAATGGATTATGCTATTCATGTTCTGATTGTGAGTTTGACCTTCACGTCCTTTGTGCTCATTCTATCACCGTTACTTCCCGTACTCATCAACCCTCAATGGTTCACCCCAATAAAAAAAGGATAAATATGTTATATTTATACAGGGGTATTATCGTCATATGTAGAAATATTGGGTGATTTGTAGAAAAAGATGGAACCTGAGTTACGGGGGCATTATCGTCAATAAAGGGAGCTGCAAGACTAATGAAAGAAGCCTCACCAACTCCAACTAACCTGAAAAGTTATTACGGTGATTTTATCTTAAGGAGTAAAAAATAAATAAAATTAAAAAGTCAAATGTGTGTTTGAAAATTGAAATAGTCAACTCACATTCTGCAGATTGTGATTGACCAAAAGTCAATTGAAATCCCACATCCAACTGCTGCAAAAGTCAGATTGTGATTGACCAAAAGTCAATTGAAATCCCACATCCAACTGCTGCAAAAGTCCAAACAGATAATCCAACTCCAATAAGCCTAAATGGATTAATGCTGCAAATATATAAAACATTAAAGATTATTAGAATATGAAGAATATTATTATTAGTAGTAATTTAGAATCCACAATAACACAATTACACATTTTGATGTATTACCTTTTGGCCAATGATGCAAATATTGGAGATGCTACAAGAAGTCCAACCATGAAAGCAGATGAAATTACTCCATCTTTGAAATTGCTTAGGTTAAAATCGCCCCTATAAAAAAATTTGCAATTTTTGTTTCATTTGACATCAGTATCAATCAAAATATCGAATTCAAGAAGAACATGAAAGTGAAGACTTACTGAATTCCACTTCCATGAGAGCATACACCAGATTTTGTGCAAACTTTGGGACTTAAAGGGTATCCATTTTATGCAATTTTATGGGTAGTTTGAGAAATTGTTCATGGTAAGAAGAAAATGGGTGTTTTCCATGCTAATTAGTAGTTGCAATGCAAAAGCTTAGATTGGTTGCACATTCTGAATCAAAATGTAAGAAATAAAATTAACACGCACTAAATAATCCAGTGAAAGTAGATACCATTTCTCCAGTGACTCACTTTCTTACTCCAATCTTCCCTTCTCAATACAAAGTTAAAGCACAAATGAGACTTACATAAACACAAAGTCACAAACACTTGTTGGAATTTTAACAGAAAAAGTTACCTGCTCATGGAAGCCACAGCTCTTAGAGCTGGACGTATACCCAATACCACACCCCAAGTCCTGTGGAAAATGGATTTTGCTTCCTTCACCTTTTTGATTTTTGCTTTAGCCTTGGCACTGCTTAAGCCCTCAACAGCTTGTATTAATGGGTCGTCAACATAAGAATAATGTATTAGTTTGTTAGATATTAACCATAGATAATAAAAAAGATAAGACTCATGTGGTCATCGGAATCGGAATCAGAATCCGAATCCCGATGCCGACTTTGCTTACGACTGTAGCTTCGTTCTTTACTTCTCCCAGAAGAGTGTCGCCGAGGAGAAGAATCATGGCTGTCGGATTCATCCGAGATGGAGGGGGAATTATCATCACGGGTGTGTCTTCGGTTGAAGATAAAGGTAAGGCGTAGGAAAACTAGGGTTTTGTAAGTGGGAAATTTGGGGATACATCGGGGAGTGAGAATGAGAGGATGATAATGGAGAGAGTGAGATGGTGATTTCATAATTCTGATTGGCGTTCCCCACCAATGAAGTGTTCGTGAGATTGGGTTTATTGAAATTGATATTAAGAGAAGAAAGGGTTTGCTGAAAGCGGGGGAGGGTTTATTGAACACCGACGCCGGCGAACGGAATGTTAGGAAGGCCGACGACGGGGAGGAATGAAGTATTGTCGATTATGTGTGAGGGAGAAAGAAAGATGCATCAAAAATACGCTTAGGGCAAAGAGGGAAGTGAAAGCGGGATATTTTAATTTTTGGGGGATTTTTTAATTTTTGGGCTTTGTGTTGACACTTTTTCAAACAACTTGTATTCTCAGGAAATCATTAAACAGGTAATCAAGTGCTTTTGAGGATGGGACGCTAAGGCGTCTACTATTTAATATTTATCAACATATTGTAATTGATTCGTAAACATGTAATTCATACAATGATGTAATTTTTTCAATTATATATATGTTGGTTGTGTTTGCTTGAATTACTATTACAATTGCTGTTATGATACTATACATGAAGTCCTCCACCCCCGGATGTTTCCGCCATCCTTGGTTTGGGGGTGTGACAGATTGGTATCAGAGCGCAGTTTATAGTGAATTAAGTATATCAAACCACATAAGATATACAAACTATAAACACAATTGGGACTAATAGTCTCTGATTTGTGCATTTTTCAAGTAAATATACTTTTAGAAAATAAATGATTTTTTTTTATTAAAAGTATAAATACATGCATACATGCTCACATAGTGTCATAACTAGAAGAACATAAAATAAAAGAAGAGGAGTTGTACATTATGGGTATGCCTTGGTATATGTAAATCAAGTCTGGGAAGGATATAGCCTGATCAGCTATATCTGTCCGGGAATTGACTTGCATATACCGGGGGATGGTCAGGATGGACAACAAATCTAACAAACCTAATAACATACTACAAAGGATACTTTAAGAACTCAAAACTAAACATTTTACAAATACTATAGGAGTATTTTGTGTTACTATAATAAAAATATTTTATAATTTCATTCTACCTCATAACCCAATGTATTGGGTCAATAAAAAGTATAAAATCGTATGTATCGTAAACATACCGGAAAACAACGTAATAATATACTTTATGTATAAAAGATTTCTCTCCCTATAAATACACTTTTACTAAAAGTACATTGGTTTACGACTTATGACAGAACCATGCCGCCAAGAAGAAGACCAAGACCTTCCAGCAACACAGCAACACCTCCTCCGCCGCCGCCTCCACAGTTTGATCCCGCGATGTTCCAGGCTGCAGTAACAGCAGCCGTAGCGGCCGCAATGTCGCAGATAGGGACCAACGGAGCTGGTGGTGGTTCGGGATCGGGAGCTACACACTCTAACCACGGAGACAGTACGTGGCGTGCAAAAGAGTGTTCATACAAAGACTTCACAAATGGCAAACCCGACAACTTCAATGGAAGCGGGGGAGTCATCGCTTTGATGCAATGGTTTGAAAAGACCGAAGTAGTCTTTCAGGTGTGCTCTTGCCCCGAAGCGAGCAAAGTTAAGTTCGCAGCCTTCACCTTCACCGGCCGGGCCCTTACTTGGTGGAACTGCCGGATTAAGTCACTTACTCTCGAAGTGGCTAGCTCCATAACCTGGGCAGAACTAAAAACGTTGATGATGAAGGAGTACTGCCCGAGAGGTGAAATTCAAAAGCTGGAACAAGAACTTTGGAACCTCAGGATGACGGGCTCTGACCTTGAAACCTACACCACCCGATTCAATGAATTGGCTCTCCTCTGCCCAACAATGGTTACTCCGGAGGAGAAAAAGGTGGAGCGATACCTTTGGGGACTGTCTCTCCACGTGCAAAGTAGTGTCCTGGCTTCAAGGCCAACTACTTTTGACAGTGCCAGGGAGCTGGCACAACAACTTGTTGACCACCGAGCCGGTCATAATACTACAACCACCACCACTGATAAATCAAAAGGAGGAAACAACAAAAGGAAGTTCTGGAACGAAAAGAAGAGCCAACCAGCACAGGACCCCGCTAAGAAGCAACAAATTGTTGCTGTCCATGCTGCCACTAATACTGCCACTACTGCTACCACTCCAGCACCACCGAAGCCATATGCGGGAAAACTACCTAAGTGCAACAAGTGCAACTTTCACCACAATGGTGCTTGTAGGGAGATGCACTGTAACAACTGCGACAGGAAGGGGCACACTGCTCGTTTCTGTAAAGCGCCGGCTCAACCAATCAACCAAGTCGCCAGTACGGGGGCAACCCGGACCTGCTACAACTGTGGAGACGCAGGTCACTTCAAAAGAGACTGCCCCAAAGCACAAGCCCCTAATGCTGGTGGAGTAGGAAGAGTCCTGGCAATAGGACATGGGGAAGCAGTCGAGGATCCCACGGTGGTTACCGGTACGTTTCTCCTCAATAACTCTTATGCATGCGTACTATTCGATAGTGGAGCGGAGAGGAGTTTCGTGAGCCACCAATATAAACATTTACTTGAACAAAATCCCCAATCACTAAAGGATACTTATGTAGTAGAAATGGCAAATGGGAAAGTAGAACGCACTAGCGATATATACTCAGAATGTACTCTCACTCTAGACAACCATACATTTAAAATTGACCTGATGCCAGTCACCATAAAAAGCTTCGACGTAATCATCGGGATGGATTGGTTAGTTCCTCACCGTGCCGACATTCTATGTTACGAAAGGGCCGTTCGCCTCAATCTACCAAATGACGAAACCCTTCTCATCTATGGTGACAAACCTAGTGCGAATTTACAAATCATCTCATGCATCAAAGCCCAAAAGTATCTCCGGAAGGAGTACCACGCCTTCTTAGCCCATGTAGTAGACAAGAAACAAGACGTGAAAGACATCAAAGACATCCCCGAAGTGTGTAACTTCCCGGATGTGTTCCCAGAAGATCTTCCTGGTGTACCACTCGCACGACAAGTCGATTTCAGAATTGACTTAATACCCGGAGCTACCCCCGTAGCCAGAGCTCCATACCGCCTCGCACCATCAGAAATGCAGGAGTTGTCCAGTCAGTTGACCGAGCTTTTGAGCAAAGGGTTCATCAGACCAAGCTTCTCACCTTGGGGAGCACCAGTCCTTTTTGTAAAGAAGAAGGACGGATCCTTTCGCATGTGCATCGACTATCGGGAACTAAACAAACTCACCATCAAAAACCGATATCCTCTACCCCGAATCGACGACCTTTTCGACCAACTCCAAGGAGCAAATTTCTTCTCAAAGATCGACCTAAGGTCAGGCTACCATCAGCTACGAGTTCAAGAAGAAGATATTCCCAAAACTGCATTCAGAACTCGCTATGGGCACTACGAGTTTGTGGTGATGTCCTTCGGTTTAACAAACGCACCTGCGGTATTCATGGACCTAATGAATAGAGTGTGTCGACCCTACCTAGACAAGTTTGTAATCGTATTCATCGACGATATCTTGATCTACTCGCGAAGCGAGAAGAAGAGCATCGCCTACATCTACGCCAAGTGCTAGAGACACTAAGAGCGGAGAAGCTTTATGCTAAGTTCTCTAAGTGTGAATTCTGGATTAGAGAAGTGGATTTCCTTGGACATGTGGTAAGTGAGAAAGGCATACATGTGGATCCCTCCAAGATCAAGGCAATCGAGAATTGGTCAGCACCCAAGACGCCAACCGAAATTCGACAATTCCTTGGGCTTGCTGGCTACTACCGAAGATTTATACAAAACTTCTCCAAGATTGCGAAACCACTCACCACCTTGACGCAGAAAGGTGTGATATTCAAGTGGGAAAATAAACAAGAAACTGCTTTCCAAACGTTAAAACAAGCCCTATGCAGCGCACCGATCTTGTCTCTCCCAGAGGGAACCGAGGACTTCGTAGTGTACTGTGATGCTTCGAATCAAGGCCTCGGATGTGTGCTCATGCAGAGAGGGAAGGTTATCGCGTATGCATCAAGACAGCTTAAGACGCACGAGGTTAATTATACTACGCACGACCTGGAATTAGGAGCAGTGGTATTCGCTTTGAAGATCTGGAGACACTACCTCTACGGCACGAAATGCACTATCTTCACTGATCACAAAAGTCTTCAGCATATCCTCAATCAGAAAGAGCTCAACATGCGACAGAGGAGATGGGTAGAGTTGCTGAATGACTACGAGTGCGAAATTCGTTATCATCCGGGCAAGGCCAATGTAGTGGCCGATGCTCTAAGCAGGAAGGAGTACTCGGGCCGCCGAGTAAAATCCTTAACAATGACAATCCATTCCCACCTGACCATACAAATCAAGGAAGCTCAACTGGAAGCTTTGAAACCAGAAAAGGTGGCAGGAGAGACATTAAGGGGAATGGATAAAAACTTAGAAGTCAAGGATGATGGAGCACGTTATATCATGAACCGGATTTGGACACCGAAGTTCGGTGGACTCCGAGATGTCGTCATGAATGAAGCACACAAGACTCGATACTCCATCCATCCCGGGTCGGATAAGATGTATCTGGACCTCAAGAAATTATACTGGTGGCCGAACATGAAAGCTGAGATTGCTACCTATGTGAGCAAGTGCCTGACTTGCGCTAAGGTCAAAACGAATACCAGAAACCATCCGGGCTATTACAACAGCCGGATATACCTGAGTGGAAGTGGGAACGAATAACCATGGACTTCATAACCAAGCTGCCTAAGACATCGGGCGGGCTTGACACAATATGGGTAATTGTAGACAGATTGACCAAATCAGCACACTTCCTACCAATGAAAGAAACCGACAAGATGGAGAAGCTGACTAGAACGTACATCAGAGAGATTGTACGACTCCATGGTGTGCCGATATCCATTATCTCCGATAGAGATAGTAGATTTACCTCACGGTTTTGGCAGTCTCTACAAAAATCATTGGGAACTAGGCTTGACATGAGTACGGCCTACCACCCACAAACCGACGGACAGAGCGAGAGCGAACCATTCAAACGTTGGAAGACATGTTAAGAGCTTGTGTGATAGACTTCGGTAAAGCATGGGATACCCATCTACCGCTTATCGAATTCTCCTACAATAACAGCTATCATACTAGCATCAAAGTCGCTCCATTCGAAGCTCTTTACGGTCGCAAATGCAGATCACCCCTGTGTTGGGCTGAGGTGGGGGATACACAGCTAGCTAGAGGGCAAGTCTCTAATAGCACCCTCACTGGCCCTGAAATCATAAG